GTACTAGCTACCGAAATTGCCGCGAAAAACCTGGGCGCGCGCGAAAGATGCCCGACCGCGGACTGGCCTCGAAGAACCACTAGAGGGCTTTAGGGTCTCCTCTATCGTGTCAGGCGGTGAAATATGACACACGGCAGATCCTTTACACACTTTATGTATGATTTAGCACAGGATACCGCGGACTTCTTGGATCGATGCGATAATTAATTCGGACACACCAAACACTATCTAATCCCTTTGCTTCAGTTTTTTTTCACCGAGGACGTCCGCATTTGGCGAGTGTCCACGGTTGAAGGTGTGTATTATAATGAACGTCCACGTTTGCCTGGAAACACAAACGCACACACACACACGCATAAACACACACGCATAAACACACACACGCACGCACACACACGCATAACACACACACACACACGCACGCACACACATACACCTTGAAAAAGAAAGTTATTCAGTTACCAATGTCGTCACACATGACCCCGGCATCTTCACTATGCCCACAGTTGTGAGATAAGTAACCTCTGTGTTGACAGAAAGCGATGTTTGACTCAGATCCAGTGCAATTCACATCATCCATAATAATTTCCCCCGTGCCTTGGCCAAAGTTGGCGTTGTAGTAATACCCAGACGCACGTGAATATCCCAATGTGTGGCAAACTACATGTGCATCATCTAAATCCCAGCCATCGTCACACACTGTACCCCATGCACCTTGGTAGCGAACCTCAACTCTCCCTTCAAAGGATCCACTTCCACCAACCAAACGGGTCCTCAGAGGTTCTGTATATATTAAACGATAAACATTCACATTAGCATGTCATTGAAATGATTATAACGTCGGCCTTATGCCAAAAGGCCTTAACCCGAATAGGGGGTTATTGAGTTGTTAACATCACCTTGTAGATTTCAACATTCTCTTCAAAATGATGTGCTTCACTTGTTGAAATTCGATTTATTTATGAAGATAATTATGAATTTCAAAAGGGCCTTAACGCGTATCTCATCTTTTCTTACGCCAAAAGAGCCTTAACCTACACGGCAAATCTGTTATCAATGACAGATTATTTCGTAATTTCCATTTAATTCAATAAATATCAGTAAAAACACAATTAAAAACATTATTAGTCTAAATAGACACAATTTATTTAAAATAATCACTGAAAAGTATATGTCATGAATTTAGATCATGAAATCTGAGTGAGATTTAAATTAGGTGTGGATGCATGAAATGCGACCGACTCGTTGAAATACGCAGATGTCAACGTATGGGACTGTTATGAAAATAAACAACGAAAAAGGTGTCCTAAAAATGTACGATCTCTAAAAAATAACGTTACCGAAAAGAAATTGGGGATGCCAATTCATTTGGTAATACTTTTGAGATCGCCGGAACTCAAGGTTTTGAATTAAGGTCAAGGTCAAGGTCAAAATTGACCTAAAAATAGCAATTTTTTAATGTTTACAAAAAAAAAATTATAAAATTATTTATAGTGCCCTTTTAGAACCTAAAATTGATATGAAGGTAATTTTAGACCCCAAAATGTGTGAAATTTAGCCAATACGATCATACCATTTCAGCTCCACTTAAAAAAAAACACGGTGACCGTTAATTATTTATTTAATTCAAAATAACAATACATGAACGGATGAGCCGGCTATTAAATAGTGGGTTATATAAGCAACACGAAAATGCCAACAAAAGAGCCAAACATCGGCATTGGCTGAAATACGACGTAAAAGGCATTATTTCGTTGTTTTTTTTCAACGGTGTTTTTTCAAATTTTTTAAATATCTAATATTTTGGTGGTGGTACCAAAGTATTAAAAATCGTTATAAGATGGGTGGAAGAATCCCTGCAATCTGATGGTCAATTACCGTTTTAATTAATTTTACTGGATTTTTTTGTTTTTCATAGGTTTTTATTCGTTTCTCTCAAAGAAAATTGTACATTATAACATAATACATTGGATACAAAATAACAAAATAATTTAACATAGGTCTTTATAAATTTACCAATGATCTTTTACATTTACATACAAAGTTACACCTCTTCATTTCCTTTGGAGACAAAAAAAAAAAAAATTATATATCTAAAAAAGGGAAAAAGCTACAAAAACCTACTACCCCCCCCCACCCCACACAATATTTAAACACATAACATGTACAACAGTATACAAAACACACGCTATCATAGAACGAGCAAAAAAATAAATTAAAAAAAATAAATAAAAAAAAAGAGAAGAGAGGGAGCTCCCAATAAACAAAATCACGTGAAAATCACGTCAATATCAAGGTATCGACTTGAGGAGAGTTACGTTCTTCAAACACCTGACATTTACGTAAATGTGTTAATACGTTTATTGCACTAGGTAACTTAAAACACACGTGCACTAAATCACGCAATTGTCACTGCAATATCACCATTATAAATCACCATTATAATCACGTGATTATCCCTACCTTGGAGACCATGGTTGTAAACTAACACTCCCGTGTTTGTTTGGTTATGAAATTACATCTTCATAAACGAAATTATCGCGTCACAGAAACACGTGAAGCGTTAGTGATAGTTTTAGTCAAAATATCTGCGTGAAATTCACGTGAATATTACGAGGCTGACTTGAGATGAATCATTTACTTCGACGTAAAATTTACGTCGAAGAGGAAGATGTTACTGTAACCCCGCTTTAAACCCAATAATTACGCAAATGTTACACAATAAATGAACCAACATATTGACGTTCTCATCCCGTTCTGAACATCGTGTCTTGGATCTTACATATTACGTCCAGGCGCGCCGGAAGCAGTTTGGGATTAGAGAGAGGTTTGGGGGGTGGGGTGGTGCAAACATCCCAGAAGAGAAAGCTAGTTGCAACTGTCCAGTTGATGAAACCATATAACTGGTAACCCTGGAAATTGAAATGGGCTAAATGATCCAGTTGATCCAGGCCAGTTATAATTCAACTGGTCTAGCTGAGCCATTAAAACCATTTGGTAAAACTTCCAACCAGTTGAACAGCAACAGTACTTCAATACTCTGTATTCCAATGTAAATGCATTGGTAATAAGTAGACTTACATAATTGAATTAATCGAGAAAAAAAATTGTATACTTGTACTTTATTGAAATATTTTAGGTCATAGTATTGTTCCCTTATTCATGTTAACTAAATGTAATTTATACGAAGTAGCGAAATGTCCTAATAACTGGTAATTTATATTGTAGTATTTTCGAAATGAATGCATATAACTAAATCAACAGTAAATAAGAAATATGCTGTAAATTCAGATAAATTGTTTAAAAAACATAGATCTGCACGCACCCCATATTCAATATGCAAATTAATTGGTGTCAGCTGGTTCAACTCGAAATATGCCAACACTCAGTCATCAACTGGTGCAACTGGAAATATGCACACTCCAGTTATCAACTGGTGCAATGAAAATATGCCAACAGTCAGTTATCAACTGGTGAAATAGAAATATGCACAGTCACGGGATTATCACCACGGAACTTAAAATGGTAACTGTGAAACCATCAAGACCACCCAAGAATAACTCATTTCACACCTGGAAAACACGGAATACCCAGCTTATATTAATAATCCGTTTGAGTCACGAGATCATCACCGCGGAACTGCTAGCAACGTTGACTACATTTAAATAGGGTTTAAGACACCTAAAAATGACTAATTTTTCACACCTAAAAGTCACGTATGCCCAGCTTAGATTAATATTCCGTTTGAGTCACGAGATCATCACCACGGAACTGCTGGCAACGTTGACTACCATTTAAATAGGGTTTTAAGACACCCTAATAATGACTAATTTTTCACACCTAAAAGTCAAGTATGCCCAGCTTAGATTAATATTCCGTTTGAGTCACTAGATCATCACCGTGAACTGTTGGCAACTTGACTACCATTTAAATAGGTTTTAAGACACCTAATAATGACTAATTTTTCCACACCTAAAAGTCACGTATGCCCAGCTTAGATTAATATTCCGTTTGAGTCACGAGATCATCACCGCAGAACTGCTGGCAACTTTGACTACCATTTAAATAGGTCTTTTTAAGACTACCTAACGATAACTAATTTTTCCCACGTAAAAGTCA